TAATGTTACATTAACTACAGCTAACGAATCACATTTGCATGTGGACCTTCCATGTACAAATGATAACATCACATTATATGCTAATATTGAAAATGATAACTGTTACGGGTGATATGGTTATGATGAAAAAACTGTAGTCAATACAATAATTGTATTTTTTTGTTATTAATTATTAATAACAAAAAAATATCGTGGAACCGTTTATTCGCACAAAAACAAGGTAAAACAAAATGATTACAAATAATGTTGCACAGTAGTTAGAGATTAAAAAATTACACCGCATAAATAATTAAAAAGATGCTTTGACGTAAAAATGTTGCGGGCAGTTCGGTATTACACAGGTGACTTCAATGTATATTTGCGGTGGGTCGTCGTCGGACGCGCGGCACTTACTGTACTTAGTACCATGGCGTATGCCACGCGATGTTAGTCAGTCAAACTATCATATACCCTGTGGCGACTCCCGCCACTATCAGCAGCTAGTCATCTTCAGTGTTACCGTTTTTATATCGCGTGATTATTTTATTGTATTATTCGTCGTGAGTTTTGATTATGTAATCGTCCCTACCTGTGTGCCTTTTTAAATGTGATTTTTAAATTAACCATCCTCCCTGTTCAGTCAGTGACCGTTCGATCTCTGAGAAATTAGTTTTGTCGCGTTACCTTTATATTTTTGTTACCTCATTTTGCGTTGCCGACGAATACGTTTATACATTTATTTCAATCTGTTAATTATTATTTTATGCGAATAAAGCGCCTGTGACGCCTTTGGTGTTAGTTTAAATTTTCTTGGCGTCATTCTTTATTCAATAGCTTTTAATAATTATAAACAATTACCTTGGAGGCCATAACCTCCAAAACACGTAGCCGGGTGACGTCTGATAAAAGATAACATTGATATTGAACAATAATTTATTATATTAGTTGAATCTATTGGCAACACTGAAATTATACTATTTTTTTAAAAATCAGGAAAAACATCATATGATAAGGAAGATTAAAAATATAATGAAGCGGAGGTGCAATAACATATTTGCAATGTGATAAAAATACTTTAGATTTCAGATCTGGACAAGGATAGTAGAACTATAGTTAATAGAAGAAGTAGAAGAAGAACTATAAATTAAAAAAAAAATTTGTCTCGACACCTTATCTTCTATGTTCAAATGGCTGCCGAAATTCAACAAAAAATGTAATGTTTGTAAAAAAAAAATTACCTTCTATCGGGATGTTTTTTGTACTTAAAACTGCCATAACTTATTGAAATATTAACAAATCAAAATAATATTTTTTTATATTGAAACCTTATATAATTTCCTTCCATTTGATATAATTTTTTTCTAAATTTAACATTTAACCAGTTCATATGGGGGATTTAAAATAGCAACTTTTTTACAAAAACTAACTTTTTCAACTTAACTTTTGAAAATGTTCCGGAAATACTCCATGCTTTAAATATATATCAAATTAAAGCTTACAATAAATACTATAAGTTCAAAAAAAAAAATTTGTCCCGACACCTTTCTTCTTTGGGAAAAGAGCAGTCGAATTTAACGAAAAATGTAATTTTTATGTAGAAATCTCTGTTTAACATAAAATATTTTAATACTTAAAAGTGCCATAACTTTTTGAAAAATAAACAAATTAAAGTAATTTTTTTTTATATTGAAACTTTTGATATTTTACTTTTATTTGATATAATTTTTTTGAAAATCAGACTCTAAACCTGCTCACAGGGAAGATTCAATAAAGCAAATTTTGCACAAAAGTTAAGGTTTTTTTAATTTAATTTTTGAAAATGTTCCGGAAATATTGACAGTTTTATTTAATTTTAAAATAAAGCTTATATTATATACTTTACTATGAAAAAAAAGTAGCACAGTGGGGTTGTGGCGCAGTATGGATGTTATACATATTTTTGAATACGTTAGCCATTTTCATCAAGAAGATAATCTATATTTCGATTTTTTTTGTCGGTACAAGTTGGGCCACCACAATACTGCCTTGATAAATTTTTTACATAGATATAAATATTTTTAAATTCTATTTTGGCCAAGCCAGTGACCAGAGCTTTAAAATCATTGGGGTCAATGTTTCAATAAAATATACTCTCTCAAAAAATAATTCTTTAACAAAGATAAAATATGATTGTATTATAAATGTTTTATCAAGCTTATAACGTCCTTAACTTAAACAACATTACATTAGATCTAATATTTTGTACTGATAAACATCTTGTAGTTGAAAATTCAAATGAACCACTTGTACCAATTGACAAACATCACCCTGCACTTAACATATCATTGCCAGTAAATACTCAATTTCCCAGTTGCGACACTAGTCATAGCTACTTCAATTTTAAAAAAGCCAACTACAATAGTATTCGTTTATTTTTATCATCTTTTGATTGGTNATAGTTAATACTTGATAATATTTATGATAACTAAAAAATTTACCCATAAGAAATTTGTCACGAGTTTTTTGTCAGTATTTTTTATTTCAATTTGTGTAATGTTTTACAATGGAGGGGAAAAAAAGTCAATAAGTGTGACTTATGAACAAAAACAATTATTAATTGAATTTGTTCATAAGCATCTAAAATTAAATTCTAAAAAATTTGGACCATCTTTTACCATGAAAGATGCTTAATTATTATGGCAAAATATTACCAAGATTTTAAATGAAACTGTTGGCCCAAAGAAAACACTAGCGAAAAATCGTAAAGCTGTTAGTACCTATAGTGACAAAAATTGTATTAAATTTTACTTATTGTTTAGTCAATATTGTACAATATTTTGCATACTTTGCGCTCTATACTTAGAGCAGACTTAATCGATGGGGGTTCTAAATNCCAGACTTCCTCGATGGGGGTTCTAAATATGGGCGTAGCTCATTAATTAAATTTAATGCAAGAACTTTTGTCAGTCTAAATTTTTGTATAAATGCCCTTTCGGACAAAACTACAGAAAATAAAATTTTATTAATGTAAATAGATAATTTTACATATTGTAATTTGTTTTGTAACATACCAATGAACGGATCCTCCGCTAAACAAAATATCATTGTTCAATGGCCATTATAGTCAACTATTTCTAAATTACTAATAACTTGCACATAATTTATATTAAGAAAGTGTTCCATTTTAATAATTAATAATAAATAAATTTGAAAACGTTATAAATATATAAGTTTTTATATAAATATGAATGATAAAAGTAACATTAGTATACTAAAATCATAATTGGTGTGGTAGATACCACTCTAAAAAGATCATCTAAAACTTTAGTACACTAATAAATATTTTTTAGCATACCAACATTCAAAAATACGGTTTTTTAGTTTCACACTAATAGTTGCACTAAAACGTTATGTTTTAGTATACTAAACAGATTAGTACACCAATATAAAATTCAAAAATAGACCCCCTGACGTTTCGGACTCTGCAATGAGTATCCTCAAGCACTTTAAGCAATGATTGTATTATAAAAGTTATGTTTTTAATAAAAATATAGAGTGTTTAAAATCGTTTTCATATAAAAATAAGTCATAGATTTTGTAAATAAAACCCTGTTATTTAAAATTAAATCATTTTCGTAACAATTTATTTTTAGTATATAACACGTAGTGTGTAACGTACACTCAGTGCATTTAATAAACACAATTAACGTTTGATTACTTAAAATATTATTATGTGACATAGGATATAAGGTAAGTATCATTTTAACTCATTATTTCAAATGACAATCTATTGCGAACAAATCACTTAAATAAATTTTAAAATTTTAAATTTATTAAACATCATTTACTTAATATTAGTCAAATCTCACGATTATCACACAATCTTATACCTTTTACCTATTTATCTACTCTAAAGTATTTACCTTTTTATTAAACATTTTGTCTTATTAATTTTTAATACTATTTTAATTTATTAATGTATTACCATTTACTGTTCTCTTTTTCTTTTTAGTTTATTACACACCGAGAGATATTACATTTTAAACAATAGATTGTAACTTCCCTCAAATGTTCTATTTCATTATTTTTCAGTTACATTCTACATTGCTTTAAAAACTATCAAATAATTCAATTTTCTTCCGTAATAGCAAGTTATTTAATGTTTTAAAAAGGGAACTCTGTTATGGCGATAATGTAAACTCATAATATGTAAAATAAATGTAAAATTGATAACATCACATTATATTTGAATATTATAAATGATAATATGTATACTGATAACATAATGTAAAAAATATATTCCAATATATATAAAAATAATTTTAGTAAATATTTAAAAATGAATTAAATTAATCGAAAATAATTAATTGAAATTTGCTTTAACTGTATTAACAAAAAAATTTTAGAATTCCAATAATCGCACATCATTACTTTCACTGTGGTCGCTAAATATGTTGAAAATTTCAGTAAATTTCGAATATGATAAAACACTTTTTATGTTGACACTATGGAATGATTTATCGAATAACGTTGTAAATAAAAATGTTCTTACTAAATTGATATTCATATCATTCGAATCTGTGAATGACTTTAAATAATGAATACATTTGATTTCATCAGCACTTAAATTATTATTCCTAAGATACTTATTCAGTCCAGAATTGATAGTCGATACGTAGTCTGGACCACTAATTAAATTATTTAAAATTAGATTAAAAGATTTTGGTTTTAATTTATTTATTATGATTTCGATTTTAGGAATAATGACAAAAACATAATGGTTAAAATTTTCATTGTATAGTGGCATTTTATCAAAAGATTTGAATATTTGTTGAACATCTTGAACTTCTTGGCTATCAAAACACTCAACAAAATTCTCAACTATACAATACATTCGTTCTAAACCCTTCTTTGCACTTTTTTTATTTAACATTAATGTACTGTATATCAAACTTTCTCTTATTAAATGCATTAAAACGGTTTTAAATACACTTAACACTTTTTTTTGGTAAATTCCAATTTGTTTTATCCATACGTCAAACCAAAAATAATTCCTTGCCTTTGTATATTCCTCATATATTTCACTGTAAATAGCTTCGAAATTATTTTCACTCTGGGCACCAAAATCCATTATAATAGTTCTCAATAATTCTTTCTTATCAATTATGTCACGCAGGTAAATACTTCTGAGTGAAAACGAATTTTCTTGTTCTTCTGTATGTTTTAATACATTTTTATTATTTTCTTTTCTTTGATTCATAACATCTATAAGATTCGTGAGAGTTGAATAATTTTCCGCAGTATTCAAAGGAAAATTATTTACTTCATATTTATTTTTTTTTCGACATAATTCTGTACTTACACGTTTTAATACTTTGTAAAAAATATCGTGAGTATGTTTAATATTCTTGTTATATCGATATATTTCATTACCAAACAATTGAATGTAATAAGTATATAAATGTATCATCCAAAAAATGGTTAGTTTATCGTTAATATCATATTCTATAAGTGTGACTAAAAATTGTTTTGTAATCGATTCATTTAAAATAATTGTTTTTATATCATAAGTTTGTCCAAGTGAATTTTCAATAAAAAATGAAAATAGTTTCATATATTGAAGAAAATTGTACATATTACCACAAAAAAGGTCCAACAACATGATGACAGTTTTTTTCGTTAATACAATATTTTCTAGATATCGATCTCCTTTCAAAATTTTTTTTTTGAATTCTGAATTTGACAAATTACATAGCTCATCATAACTAGGATAATCGAATCCAGTGTCTAATTTTAAAGCAGTTTCTAATGGTTTATCAATTAACCTTCCGAATAATATTCCATGACATATTTTTGTAATCACGACACATAACAAAATAAGGAACAGATTATATTTTTTAAAAATCATTTTTAATAGTTGGATTTTAAAATATATATATTTTTTAAATACTCTACATAAATATATTAGTTGTGGATATTTATGTAGTACTTTTAATTTCAAAAATAGATTGCATAAAACATAAGCTATAAATTTAATAAAGTATTATACGAATAATTTATTTTAATAAACAACATATTGAGCTCTAATTTTGTATGTTATTTATTTGTTTAAGAACTTTGTAAATTTTATTAAATAAATTAATAATTTTTAGTTATATTGTACATTTTATTATTAATTATATATATGAGATGACCAGCGGCGTATTTACATGCTGGCCTTATTGCTTATAGCGGCATATTTTAAGGGGCGACAATATTAAAGGCCTACAAATTTATAAAAATCGAATTAGTTTTTTATTGTTGCTCAAATTATTTATATAATATATTTTTTAGTGCATCCCATATAAGTATATAATTTTTTTTTCTTGAAGGCCACATATATATTTAACTTGTTTTGTTAGGTACAGAATTAGGCATTTCAGTAAAATAAAGGATGGACAATTTCATAGTGTGCCGATTACGTAAGAATGGCCCTTCTCTTTTCAACCTATTAAAACTTTAACACAAGAAAAAAAAACAGTAAATTAATTTTAATAATATAAGCAATAAATTGCATTTAGTAAAAAAATATATGAAGGGTTTAAAAAAAACCAACTACTCGAGTAAAAACATTTTTAGAGCTTTTAAAAATCACTATAATAAATAAAAAAAAATTAACACAGTTTGATGAATAAAATTTAAATAAATATACAGAGTGAATTAATCTAACTAACAATATTCATATCTTTTGATTCAATCATCATTTTCCTGTAATTTTTTTTAACTTATATATTTTTAAAGCATATTTTAGTTTTGATATAAAGTTATATGAAGAATAGATATTAATTTTACCATGAAGTGTTTTTTTTTTCTGTCCAAGTAAATGCTCAGTTCTCATTGGACTATGTTGATGATCTATACATCAATAGAACCCGAATTTAATCTAGATAATCCAATAGCGCCAAAAATTGAAAAAGTTGAATAGCTAGTGTTAAAACAATCAATTCGTATATAAAGTCCGAAATATTTCCGGAACATTTTCAAAGTTTCAGTTGAAATTGTTTACTTTTTATGAAGAAGTTGATATTTTGAAATAGCCTCGTGGCAGGTAAAAAGTCATATTTTTGAAATATGTATACCAAATAAAAAGAAAATACATAATGTAATTATTTAAAAAAAAAAACAATTATTTTTATTTATTCATTTTCAAAAAGTTAGTTAAATATGTATGTTTTGTAAAATCAAACTTGATACCCTTATAAGATATAAGGAATAAATTTTAAAAAAAATGAAATTTTTAACCCTAGTAAAATATTTTATTAAAAATTGAAAAACATGTTTTTTCCCTGTTATCCTGTGCATGGTATTAAGACTATTTGGTATTAACATTTTTTTTTAAAACTTATCTATAAAATGACTATATTCAAATCGTAAAAAAAATTTTTAAATACTTTTTGTCATTGCGAAAAATAACATTAAATATATTTAATGTTATAATGTTTAAATATAATTCTATATTGTAAAAGTTGATTAAAAAAATAAAAGTATAAAATATTATGTAGATCATAAGATATATGAGTTATCAGTTAGATATATTCCACTCTGTATGTATCCCTAACATAATACCAAATTCCCTCAATCTAAAAAAATGTCTACGCAATTTCGCAGCCGAAATCCTATTTATACAGCTGTGATTATATGAAAAAACAAATAATAATGATCATTTACTTAAAAAATAGATATGATCTATTCAGTGATTTAACTAAAATGATAGTTTTATAATAAAATAGTTATTGCATGATCAAAGCTTGCTAATTATTAAAAATTTCTGAATCTATTAACTGCGATCGTTTATCGTATGTTCTGTTCTATGAATCTTATTATATTTATAATTTTATTAGTATAAAGTAGATTTAAATAAAATAAATTAAATTATTTAATTCAAAAGTAAAATAAATACGAAACAAATACTAGTTGGTATATTTTAGTTATACAAATCGAGAAACATAAATACTACATAAGTGTCCCACTATGTTCTGACATCTTTAATAACTATTGATCCATCGAATATTTTGTACTACTATTATTTTTAAATAACTTTTTAAGTTTCAGATCACATTAAACGCATTTTTTTTATTATTTATCTCTAATAAAAAATAAAAAATAAAATATTTTTTCAACATTTTAATAAGCCATTTTTAACCCTTTCTTACCAGATTATGTTGATAGATTGATAACAACTTTTAAATAAGTATTTATTGAATTAAAAGTATTTTAATACATACCCAATCTATGTCTATATACTTCCAATAATTTATACATGCATTTAAAAATAATATATATTTTTCATTAAGATGAAAAAATTCATATGATTTTTGTGAAATATTTTACAAAAATAAATTTTAAAACCCTATGACTTATAGGGTTTTTTCTTGAATATTTCATTTATTAATTAATCATTTATAACCAATATTTGTAAACAATCAGTTCCATGGACAAATATATAAAATAAAATGGTCTTAAGAAAAATTCCTTTCCGTGTACAAAGAACAAGTAATAGAATTTTTTAAATGAAAAACAACTTTTTTCTCATTTTTTTATTTTCTTAAACGATTTAATTTATACCTAGATACATTATTGATGTGAACATGGTTTAATTATAAATAGTGATATATTAAATTATACTGATTTGCATGCAACTCAAAATCAACAGGATAATGTACGTTAGAATATATGAATTTGTTTTTAGCTTTGATGCGAAGCTGAGAAGGTATTGGTTTTACAGCTCTCACCAGGGGCGGATCCAGAATTTATACCAGGGGGAGGGCGTCATTAGATACATTTTTTTCTTTTAAGAACTGATTTATTATTTTGTGTTTATTAAATTACATGTTTTTATTACATGATTATTACATTTCTATTTTTAAAAATTCGTTTAATATTTGCTGCATAATAATTTTTTTAATTACTATAGTATATGTTTTTTGATGACTTTGAGGACATAGGTGTATAAAAATAAACTCGTTAATTAAAATTAATTGCATATGAAGAACTTTCTTTGAAATTAAAAGCTATTTAACAAATAAAAAAAAAATATACATTTCTTACAATATTATAACTTAACACCTAAGTTTGTAACAAATACTATTAAGATAATTAAAGAATAAAATCTAATTTTCTTATTTTGTCATTAGTAAATCTATTAATGATATTTTTGATATTATTATGAATATTAATATTTTTGTGAATATACAACAATGCAAGACCTGTTAATCTATCATCACTTATTTTGAACCTTAACCATGTTTTAAGCAATCGTTAAAGTTTAAAATAAAAAATATATGTAGCGTATTCTATAAATAACACGATTGCTTCAATATAGAGTTATAATACAGTATGTCAGTACATATATGTATATATATAAATGTTCTATTATTGATGTTATTTCGATAAGGCAATGGGTGTTCCTACACAATTCGCATGCACTTATTATTTTTATTTTTAGATTTTTAGGTACCAAGTCCTAATTAAAGGTATTTTAATTTAATCAGTAAGCCAGTAGCTGAAGAGGGGACGCGCGCCCCCTGCGCCCCTACCCTGGATCCTCCACTGGCTCTCACCAAACCGATTTCTTTCAATTATACGTCAAAAGATCATAAATTGTATCTAGTCGAAGACATTACCCTCAAAAATTGAAAAAATTTTCCTTGTTCCCCATAATGAGGGAAATCTCCAAAAAAATTACAAATTTAAAAATCGCTAATTTTTTTCAATTTTTTTTACTTAAAACTGTCATAACTTTTTCAAAAATGAACAAATCAATATAATTTTTTTTTATAGATGATTGATGTATTTTTTTATAAATATAACCCTTTACCTGCCCACAAGGGGATTTATAATGTCAACTTTTTCACAAGAAATTAACGTTTTCAACTTTACATTTTAAAGTGTTCCGGAAACACTGACACTTTTATATATACCTTAAATTAAAGCTTATGTATAGCGATTGCTATTTTTGTGTGAAAATTCTCGATTTTATATTTTACATTTTTTACTTTAAAATACTATAACTTTTTAAAAAATGTATGGAACAATACAATTTTTTCATGAGAAGTAGTATTTATATACATTTTTCATTCGACATACTTTTTTTTAAATCGGACCATTTCCCTATATACGGGGGAGTTCAAATCTGAAAAATGCATATAGAAAGTAGAACTTTTTCAACTTAACTTTTGAAAATGTTTCGGAAAGACTGACACTTTAACATATATCTTAAATTAAAGCTAATATTATGGAAAAAAATAAATTTTGGACTTTATTTTGCCTTCGCAGTGAAAATGGCTACCGAATGCTATTTTTGTGTGAATATTCTCGATTTTATTTTTTACATTTTTAACTTTGAAATGCTATAACTTTTTGAAAAGTGTATGGATCAACATAATTTTTTTATGAGAAATAATATTTATATCCCTTTTTCATTCGACATACTTTATCTTAATCAGAACATAAATAAGGAAATAGCAGATCATGTAGTTTTTGGAATAAGACAAAGTTAAGCACTATCTAAAGATTTACATCGAAGCGTTTTTTATGATAGTGATTTTAATCATTATCATATATCATTATACTTGATCCAACTATGCCACGTCACCTCTATGCTGCGTCTCCCTGTGCTGGGTTTTTTTGATATAAGATAAAAGTTTTCAAAGTCTTAATATAAGATTAAAATTTATTCCCAGAAAATATTGGGATTTTTCATTATTCTAATCACAAAAAGATTGATTGAATCAAATTTTAAAGAGCGTTAACGCCTACACTTTTTATTTAAAACAAATTTAATTAAAATAAATATACAGTAATACTTGTGAATTTTTAATGGAGTATTTATAAATATATAAATCAAATAATGAAAAAATGTTTTCAAAATATATATTGATAAACATGTATTTTATGAGCCATATTTAATATATAATGGAGAAA